TTACAGGACAACACACACACACACACACACACACACACACACATGCAGGACAACACACACACACACACTCTCTGTGGTTCTCCTGCGGTTGCCTTGTTCCTCCACACCACCACCCTAACAACAGAGGGATCAGTGTGAGGCTCATATCTCATGTGGTATTTTAATCTGTGTGTGAGAGGGAGGGCAATAAAAAGGGTCCAGCAGTCAAGCTGTAAACATCCTCCACACCGCAGAAAAACACAACTAGATCCCTTAAATCGCAAAAATGTGACTCTGGCACTCATTGTTCAGTTTGAGGGGAAACATCGTCATCACGTTGACAACATCGCTAATAATATTAAAGTGTTTACTGAGTCGGATATCTGGGGAGAAAAAGGGCAAATGTTCAAAGTGTATTTTCTAGTTTTATAGCTGGTTGTCACAACACACTTTTATTTTGTCTAAAGTTTACAAATACAATAGACTGCATGAGCTTAAGAAAAGTAGGGTCAGATGTTCACTAATATATTTCCCTCATGTCTTTAATTATCGGAGTCTTAACGTGCCACCCAGAAGCGAAGATCATATTTCCTGTCACTAAAAGAATAACAGCTTCATTAGGTTTTGAAACATGAGAGTGTGACTCTGCTGCTGCAGCTGACTGAATGTGAGAAAAACAACAACTGTATTATTGCTGGGCTTCACCTCCCTTTCCTCTGCTCTTGTTTCCTCTCCTCTTCCACTAGGTTGGGCTAAAGGGCCTATAGGTTGGTTGTCTCTGTTTTTTTAAATATATATTTTAAAAGGACTCCTCAACAACTGAAAGTGAATTGTGCGTTTAAGCTGTCGCTGATATGTTGGCGATCGAGCTTACCTAACATTTAGCCTCCTCCCTGCTTACTGAAGCTCCAAAGCTAATATTATGTTCCTAAAGTTGACCCTAAATCAGATATAGGATATTTAATTACTTGTGTGACCGGAAACTGGTGTCCTTCATTAGCCATAAGAGAAAATGAATCCGACAAAAGGAGAAAAACACTTGAAGTTTGACAAACAAAGCTAAAATGTTGTCAGCCCACCAAGCCAACAAAATCTGTGAGAATGCCGACCAATTATTTTATTTCCAATTGAAACTGCAGCAGGGGTGCCACTAGTCCTCTTGTTTCCTCTCCTCTCTCTTAAAAACGTCATAAAGGTTTGCACTAAGGCTAAAATGTTCACCCCACCCAAGTCCATTTGTTACAATATAATCCACCCTAAAGCAGAGTCCTGCACGGGTCTGATTTTCAAGACCCGCCCCGCACCCGCGACGTGCAATACCGAACCCGCCCCGCTACCGCACATATTGCCAATTAGTTCCGCAACCCGACCCGACGGCACAGGATCCGCAACCCGACCCGACCCGCCAGCAGAAGATCCGCAACCCGACCCGAACCCGCATATATATGAGCAGTGAAAACGTGCAATTATTAACACACGCAGTTGCATATTTGGCTCAAAAAGCCTGGGATGTTGGTTATTCTCTCCATCTAGGAGGACACCAAAAGCCTCCCAGACGTTGGATTTCGCTCTTGAGGAAGAGTTATTGAAAATGCTGTTCTCCGCTAGAGAGCTTCACCTCAGCCATTCAGAATGTGGCGCGCTCAGCAGCAGATAGATGCACTGCAGTGCTTATGATTATGCTCGTTCCCGCGGAGGAGAGGTCTGAGGATTTAAACATTAAACTAAATTATTATTATTTAAATATATTTATTATGCAACACCCGCAACCCGACCCGCATCATCTTTGTTTTACCCAGAACCGAACCCGGAAAAAAGCGTTTGAAAAAATACCACCCGCAAATCACCTTTTTTGCGGGTCACCCGTCGGGTACCCGCGGATACCCGACCCGATGCAGGACTCTACCCTAAAGCCTCTCAATTCTGGTGGAGAATCGCTTAGCACCCCACATTTCCTACCATAAATGTAAAATGTTTTACTCCAGATGCAGAAATGTTCAGGGTGTGGTGTCAACCAATCAATGGCCACGTGGAAAATCTAGAAATTGTAATGTTGGGCTCCATTTTTCCGACAGACTGGGCGATGTTTTTTCACAAGTCATTGCACATATCCAGGGGCGGACTGGCCATTGGGATTACTGGGAGTTTTCCCGGTGGGCCGGTACCGAAGTGGGCCGGTCGGGCAATTCCCCCCCACAACATGACAAAAACGATGTTTCATTAAAAACAGTTATTTCTCAGTTGAATTTGCAGGAGGGCGCCACAACATCTTTTGTTCTTGTTCTCTCCCTTCTTGTTTCCTCTCTTCTTGTCTTCTCCCTTCTTGTTTCCTCTCCTCTCCTTTTGTTTTCCCTCAGGTGTTTTGGTAACAAGTAGGGAAAGAAAGACAAAACACCAGGTGAGATCTGCCTGGAAAGAAGAACCTGAGCCGGTCGGTTTTTTCAGCAGGACGTCTTTTGTCCCCACACAAAACTAAATTCTCTTTATTTAAAATTCTCCGAAAATGTATTGAAACCGTACAAGACGAGTTACATTGTTGGACTGACCAGATCCCCCACTTTGTGCTGAGAACTATTAAACACAGTCTGTTCAGTGTTTTCTTTCACAGCTCGGCCTTTGTGATGCTTAAATCTCGTTTTGACCCATTTTTCATCTCCTGACAATAGAAGCACACCTTATGTAGGTGTTCAGCCTCAGAGCACCACTTTCTTTTATATAAAATATCTAATTGGCTCCCGTTCTGCTCCATTAGCGACCTCAGGTGACTATCAGCTGTCCCTCGATGCGTGTAAACACTTGAATCTGTTGTCCTGACCCGATGTTTCACAGGCTGTGGATACGAGGTTTCTGCAGGATGGAGATGACATGGTGGCTCAGACAAAGACCTGTTTGTTCTGTTCGGACTCTCTGACACACACGGATCAGGTTTCCGCACCTGAAAGCAGCTCCTCAGTCTCACAGAGAGCAGCTTTTTATATCAGGGGAAAGTTATTTGGAGTATTTACACTAATCCAGGGGAAGACAATACAGGTGTTCAGACAGGGGACTTTTTTGAAAATGGTATTCTTCAGATGGGTTTCCTTCCCTTCAGGCGGTAAAAAATCCTCCTGCAGATACTTAAACTTTCCACAGAGATTTACATGAAGTCTGTTTTCCTGTTGACAAAGATGCTTCATTGTTTTATGGAGATACAACTGAACACAGGTGCAGTTAATGAACTGTAGAAAGAAGGTTAAACCAAGAAGTCTTGACTTGATAAACACTGAAGTAGTGCCCTTGTATTCTTATCCAAAGTCAGACTCAGTAAATTGAATTAAAAGAGAAAATTAAATGATACAGCTGTGATATTAAATGAGATGAAATCTCTGTCTGCATGGGACTAATATAAACTTTGGACCTCATATTTTTTCGTAATTGTGGAGTTCGTCTGATCTTAATCCCATGACAATCAGCCAATATCCAGTGCAAATCTGCCATATCTTGCCATACACAC